TATATATATATATATATATATATATATTTATATATTCCATCTCACATGATGGAAAAAAAATAATAGAAAAAAGTACTTTGCAATGATGAAGTTAAATAAAGGAAGTACAATTTTGACTAAATTATAATTTGTAATATTAGCAGTATAAATAAAATGCAGTTATAGTAAAGCTCTAAATTTCTCTTTCCTTCTCTGAGGATGTTTGTGCCTGTTGCCTAAAGCAGCATTTAAACTCACTTGTGTTAGAGGGAGTAGCTCAGAAACATGATCTACAAGCAATTGATATGCTAAAAGGTGTAAAGAGGCTGTTAGGAATCCAGTTTGTGTGGGTTGCGTTTTGTGTTATTCTTTCCCTCCACCACCAGGTGGTGTCCTGTCCTTGTTGGTCCTCCTGCACACCTGCAGCTGGTTGGCTCATCACTGAGGACTATTTGAGCAGTGGACTCTCACTACCTCGACGCTGGAGTGTTTGCCAGTTTTGGGTACTCTAGCAAAGCTGAGATTAGCTGAGTCTTACTGAGTCTTTGTTTCGCTAAGCCTACCGTTGTTTTTTGTCTTTGCCTTTCGGCAGCAAGCCATCCTGCAAGCTGGATGTTTGGCCTTCTTCCCCTGGAAGGATTACTTAAGTGTCACACTGAGCAGGGGATAACCTCCACACGTTCCGTTCAAGTTCTCCCGGAATTCCAAGTGACAGTCCGCTTCATTGCTCCTCAGAATCCAACCAAGTCAAAACCTGTCCGCCCTCCAACAAGCCCCTTACCTCTAGGTAAACCCACACTGACTGGATTCTTGGAAGAAAATTGTCTCCACTAACAGGTTAGTGACGTTTGATTGGTTTATTGAAAGGGCTACTCTGATAGCGGGGCTGAATCTGTGTGGGCAAACAGGCTGCAGGTAGACAGGCGGGTAGATTGAGGGAGGTTTACCAGTTCGATCCAGGACGGAGAGGCAGGCAGTTGAGCGGAGCTTTTCCGAGTCTGAGATCCAGAGGGGAGCAGACAGACCAATCAGAACGACTCAGAGATCCAGGGATCCAGAGGCAGAGCAGAGAGGGTAATCAGGCAGGCAGAATCAAACAGGGGTCAGGCAGGCTCGGTATCAGGAGGCAGATCGGGTCAGAAACAGATAGGCGGTCAGGTACTCTTTTAGATGCTGGACTATTCGTAGCGGGTTGGCTCGAGATAATCTGGCACAGAGGACTGATCTGATGGGGTTTTTAAAGTGCTGGAAACAGGCGACTCCGGTCAGAGATGATTGCGGACGGGTGGAGCAGAGCAGGTGTATGGACTGAGTGATCAGGCTAGAATCAGTGCAGAAACCATTACAGGGTCATTGCTGCATTTTATCCATGTACTCCCACAGATAGGACTATGCACTCAAAAACTCGCCTGTAGAACAGCTATATATATATACATATATATATATAAATAAATAACTGTTTTTTCACCCCTCGTGGGGTGGCATGTGTCATCCTCAAGCTCGGATCCTCTACCATAGGCCTGGGAGTTTGAGGGTTCTGCGCAGTATCTTAGCTGGTCCAAGACTGCGCTCTTCTCTACAGAGACCTCTGATGTTTTCCCTGGAATCTGCTGTAGCCACTCTCCCAGTTTGTGGGTCACAGCCCCTGATGCTCCTATTACCACTGGCACCACTGCTGCTCTTACTTTCCACATCTTTTCTGGCTCCTCTTTGAGCCCTTGGTATTTCTCAAGCTTCTCGTGTTCTTTCTTCTTGATGTTGCTGTCGCTTGGGATTGCCACATCTATTACTACTGCCTTCTTCTGCTGTTTGTCGATCAACACGATGTCTGGTTGGTTAGCCATCACCTGTTTGTATGTATATATATATATATATATATATATATACA